TCTTATGAGTTCCAATAGTCTCTTCATGGAGTCTTTTGGGTTCCCTATATATAGAATCATGTCATCATCAAATAGGGATAGTTTTAATTCTTTCTTCCTTCCCTATTTGTATCACTTTTATTTCTTTTCATTGCCTGATGGCTCTGGCTAAAAATACCAGGACTCTTTTTTTTTTGACAGGCAGAGTTAGACAGTGAGAGAGAGAGAGACAGAGACAGAGAGAAAGGTCTTCCTGGAAGAGGAGCAACCGGAACCAAATCCAGCGCCCTAACCGGGACTAGAACCCAGAGTGCTGGTGCCGCAGGCGGAGGATTAGCCAAGTGAGCCGTGGCACAGGCCCACATTTTGTTTTTCCTTTCATCTGGTGATTGACACCTTGGTTGATTTCAAATTTTGATTATTGTGTATAGTGTTGATATAAACATGGTGGTTCAGGTATCTTTGATACATTGTGTTCAGATATTTGGGTGGGAGAATAAAGGAGATGAGGAGACAGGGTTTAGGTAGCAAGGGAAGCATCATTCTGCCATTCCTTCTCATAGCTTTATTTTATACTCTTTTTTTTGAGGAAGTTGAAAATTTATTTATGTTCCTTATTTTGCTGTAGAGCTGCTGCTTCACTGCATAAAACAGCACCAGCAAATGCAGTATGTTGCAAAATTAAGGTAGTATTGTTCTTTCTCTGGCATCGTACAACTAACAAAAACTGTTGTGTATTCCCAGTTACTTCCAATGGAAAGATCATTACATATTTTGACCCCAATCCAGGGATGAGTATAAGCAAGTTACAGTATTACATAAGGCTTAAGATAACAATGTTATCCTTGAATTACATTATTTGTAAAACTAGTTTTTACCAGATAACTTCATGTATTTTGAATACCAGTGCCTAGAGCTCAGTATAAAAATCACAAAGTATTGTGAAAAAGATGCATATTGAGTTTATCTGCAATCATTACAAAGTTACAGTATATTTTCTTCCAGTAGCAGAGTTGAAAGTAGTATTTCTTCCATCAAGATTGCTAAAAGTTGCTATTTTAAGTCCTGTCCACCACTAATTTAAGAGAAAACTGTGCTGGATTAAGTTATTCCATACTAGTTCATGTAAGGGTTCCACTTTAATTCCTCAGTAGATTTTATGTATTTCTCATAGGCTTCTTCACTCGTTAGTTCTTGTAGTTCTGAAGGATTACTCAGTGTCATCTTGATCAGCCAACCATCTTCATAACAAGATTTCTTGACAAGTCTTGGGTTTTCTGCAAGGGCTTCATTAATTTCAGTTACTTCTGATAGAGGAGAATAGAGTTCACTAGCAGCTTTCACACTTCCCAAGGCAGCAAATTCATCTTGTTTTTTCAATTTTGTCCCAACTTCAGGCAGACTACTATTTTATACTCTTTTTATACATACTTTTCATTAAGCCTCCTTCCTCCTAAGCCTCTATTCTTTCTGAAAAAGAACACATCACAAGGGATTGTCTATGCATAACCTTTCTCTATTCATCTAGTTTTGTTTTGTTTTCCTTTCATGGGCTCATCGTAACCTTCCTATTAATCTTTTCTCTATTCATAGTGGATGTGTCAGCTATATGAAATTTGCTTAACTTATTTATAGGTGCTAGACAAAAAGTCTAAGGTTTTTTTTTTTTTTTGACAGGCAGAGTGGACAGTGAGAGAGACAGAGACAGAGAGAAAGGTCTTCCTTTGCCGTTGGTTCACCCTCCAATGGCTGCCGCGGCCGGCGCACCGCGCTGATCCGGTGGCAGGAGCCAGGAGCCAGGTGCTTTTCCTGGTCTCCCATGGGGTGCAGGGCCCAAGCACCTGGGCCATCCTCCACTGCACTCCCTGGCCACAAAAGAGGGCTGGCCTGGAAGAGGGGCAACCGGGACAGAATCCAGTGCCCCAACCGGGACTAGAACCCGGTGTGCCGGCGCCACTAGGCGGAGGATTAGCCTAGTGAGCCGCAGCGCCGGCCAAGTCTAAGGTTTTAAAGGTTAATTGATTTATTTTAAAAGGTTAAAATTGTAAAGATAAAGTTCTATTGATTATATCTTATTTTTCTAAAGGTAAATCACACCCCCAACAGCCATATTTTTTTATAGGATCTGTTCTATTGCCTAATGTAAGAATTCCTTGTCCCTTTGTTCTACATTTCCAAGCAGGGGCATAACATCCTACGCTTTGTAAGAATGGTAGTGCTTGTACATCAATGCACTTGCTGTAATATTAACTATATACTTACCATTCTTATCATACACTCTTGTGTAAGGCAAGGGCGGGGTCTGTGGGAACAAGCACCTGCATGCTCTTTCTGTTCTATTTTCTTATAAAACTCTTCATTACTCATGTTCCTAATAATAGTTTGCTCTAGACAAAATTTAGGAGATCCCCCTTTTATTTCTCCAGTCACCTCCTGTAACTCACTTTTTTTTTTACAAGAAACAACAATTTTGCATACATTGATATCCATGATTCCCACACCCAAACCCAATGACTACATCATTATTGAGCCTAATAAAAACAACACAGAAAATGGCTTCAGTTCAGTCTCGGGCTTCCTGCTTTGTGGAGTCCCTCTCCTCCAGCTGTGACTTTGTCATACAGCATGGATGACATTGCCTCAATCACACTGGTTCCATCCCTGGCTGCTCCACTTAATGACCCAGCTCTCTGCTGTGGCCTGGGAAAGCAGTAGAAAATGGCCCAAGTCCTTGATTCTCTGCACCCGCATGGAAGACCCAATGGAAGCTCCAGGCTCCTGGCTTTGGATCTGCCCAGCTCCGGCCGTTGTGGCCAGTTGGGGAGTGAGCCAGCAGATGGAAGACCTCTCTCTCTCTCTGCTTCTCCTTTTCTCTCTGTGTAACTCTGCCTTTCAAATAAATAAATATATCTTTAAAAATGTTTTATAATTTCCATTGTAAAGATATTTGTTCTCCTTGGTTAATTTATTGCAAGCTTTTTTTTTTTTTTGCTATTGTGAATAAGATTGATCTTAGAAGGTCTTTTTCAGCCATGACATTTCTGTGTATTCAAAGGCTATTGGTTTTTGTGTGTTAGTTTTATATCCTGCCACTTTATCAAACCCTTTTATGAGTTTCAATAGTCTCTTAGTGGAGTCTTTTGTTCCCCTAAATATTAGAATCATGTCATCTGCAAATAGGGGTAGTTGACTTTCTCCTTTACAAATTGTGTCCCTTTGATTTCTTTTTTTTTCTTTAATGGCTCTGGCTAAATCTTCCAGGAATATATTGAATAGCAGTGGTGAGAACTGGCATCCTTGTCTGGTTCTAGATCTTAGTGGGAATGCTTCAAATTTTCCCCCTTCAATAGGATGCTGGCTGTGAGTTTGTCATAAATTGCCTTGATTGTATTCAGGAATGTTCCTTCTATACCCAGTTTGGTTAAGGTTTTCATCAGGAAAGGATGTTGCATTTTATCAATTGATTTATCTCTATCTATTGAAATACTCACATGGCTTTTGTTCTTCACTTTGGTAATTTGATGTATCACATTTATTGATTTTCCAATGTTGAATCATCCCTGCATACCAGGGGTAAATCATACTTGGTTAAAAAAAAAAACTTTCTGATGCCTTATTGGATTCGCTTTACTAGTATTTTGTTGAGGATTTTTATATCTATGTTCATCAGGAATATCGGTTTGTAGTTCTCTTTCTCTGTAATAATCTTTCTGGTTTAGGAATTAAGGTGATGCTGGCTTCATAGAAGAGTTTGGGAGGATTCCCTCCCTTTCAATTATTTTGAATAGCTTGAGAAGAATTATAATTAGTTCTTCTATAAATGTCTGGTAGAATTCAGCAGTGAAGACATCTGGTTCTGGGCTTTTCTTTGTTGGCAGGATCTTTAATACTGAATCCATCTCTGTCTTGGTTATTGATCTGTTTAGGATTTCTGTGTCTTCATGGCTCAGTTTCTGTCAGGTTGTATGTGTCCAGGATTCTACCCATTTCTTCTGAGATTCCCAGTTTATTCACACACAGCTCTTTGTAGTAGTTCCTGATGATTCTTCTTATTTCTGCGGTATCTGTTGGTACATTTCTTTTTTCATCTCTGATTTTATTGATTTGGGTCTTCTCCTTTTTTTTGGTTAGTTGGGTCAATGATGTATCAGTTTTGTGTATTTTTTAAAAAAAAACAGTTCTTCAATTCACTGATTTTTTTTTTGTTTTGGTTCAATTTTGTTTATTCTCTTATGTTAATCTTTCTCCCTACTAATTTTGGGTTTGATTTATTGTTATAGCTCCTTTTTTCATTTTGCATTGTGTCTTTGTTTGGTTTTGATTTCAAGTATTACTGGCCTTAGAAAATGAGTTTGGCAAAGTTCATACTTTGGAATAACTTGGAAAGTACTGGAGTTTCTCTTACTACACTTTCTGTGATATGTGCACTTTTGATTTTTCAAAAATTTAGTTCTGAAACAATTTTAAAAAGGATTTATTTAGGGGACGGCACTGTGGGTTAATTCTCTGCCTGTGGTGCCAGCATCCCATATGGGTGCTGGTTCTAGTCCTGGCTGCTCCTCTTCCAATATAGCTCTCTTCTATGGCCTGGGAGAGCCGTAGAAAATGGCTCAAGTCCTTGGGCCCCTGCACCCACGTGGGAAGACCAGGAAGAAGCTCCTGGCTCCTGGCTTCAGATTGGCTCAGCTCCAGCCGATTTGGCCATTTGGGGAGTGAACCAATGGAAGGAAGACCTTTCTCTCTGTCTCTCCCTCTCACTGTCTGTAACTCTACCTCTCAAATAAATAAATAAATAAAATCTTTAAAAAAGAAGGATTTATTTATGTGAGAGAGGTGGGGGCGGGCAGAGAGAGAATGAGAATGAATATCTCATAGAGAGTTCCAAGATGGCAGAATAGGGAGGGAGCACACCGATGGTCCAGGAAGGGAAGGTTCAAGGAGGGGTGAGAATTTGTAGTTTCGGGGAAAGGAAAGCTCTTCCGAAATGGGGGAGACAGGGTGGACCTGCGAGGAGGACGCAGATGCCTGAAGCACAGGACACCAGCAGGAGTGTGTACGCACCAGCGCTGAAAGCCAAGGTGAGACAGGGCATTCACCCAGCACTGCTGCAACAGCCACCACCGCCCCTCTCCCAACCCACCCTGGGACAGACACTGAGACACGCACGACTGAGTGGGGGAGGAAATAGAAAACGGAACATAGTGAGTAGCACCTGCGGAAAGAGTGCGCGATTCAGGGGGTCTAATTGAGGGACTAAACAATCCAGGATCCCTTCCCCCAAATTGGAGCTGCAGAGGGTGGGAAGCAGCCATCTTGTTTGTTTACATTTGGGCTTAAAGGAGAACTGCTTCTGCCTCCGCACTAACCTTCAGAGGCAGAGCCCAAAGGTGGAGTGGAGCAACATGACACTCCTTGCACAGGGGCGGGCAGCAAGGGAGGGCAGCTGAAAGCACTGACACAAGTCTACTCAAGTTACCAAAAAATAAAAAATAAAAAATTGAATAGTGCCTGCGGGAAGAGGGCAGAATCCAGAGGGACGAACTGAGGGATCAAAAACACCAGGGTTTTTAGGAGCCGCCCAACCCACAATCAGAGCTGCAGCGGGCAGAGTGCAGCCATCTTGTTTGTTTACATTCGGGCTTAAAGAAGGCTGGCCTCTTCTCCGAAGGAGGAAACAGCAGGGGTGGAGTCCAAAGGTGGTCTGGAGCTACTTGACACTCCTCACGCAGGAGGTGCAGTGAAAAAGAGTGGCTGACCAACAAACCCCAGGCACAGACATGTAAGGGCGAACATAGGAACAAGGAAACCAGCCCCCAAGGGGCGGAGATTGGCACCTCAAAGCCCTGACACCAGCCCACTCAAGTTACAACAAATAAATAAATAAGTAAGTAAAAAATAAACAAACAAACTCTAGAAGGCAGAGCATCCTGCTTACACTGGATATTGGTACAGACTCACAGCAGCCCATAACAGAGGGAAATCAACCTGAAAAACCACCCAGACGGAATGCCAAAAACAAAACAAAAATCCACAATAAGAATATAGAAGAACATATAAACTCGCCAATGGAGCAGGCTAAACCAACCATAACAGAGGCTGAAGAAGAAGAAGGATTTGAAACTGTGCCAGAAAAAGAATTCAGAAAATTAATAATCAGATTACTTAGAAATAATGAGAAACAGTGTCGAGAGCTGAACGAAAAACAAGTCCAAGGATTAGAGATCCTAAAGAAAAGCCAGAATGAAATACTGGAAATGAAAAACTCAATTGACCATATAAAAAACACCGTGGAATCCCTCAGAAATCGAACAGATGAAATAGAATACCGAATATCAGAATTCGAAGACAAACTTCCAGAAATAATACAGTCAGTTCAAACGCAGGAAGAAGAAATTAAAAAATTAAAAAATATGGTCGGAGTCTTACAAGATTCAATCAAACGGTGTAATGTTTGGATGATAGGAGTCCCTGAGGGGGTGGAATGAGAGAATGGATTGGAAGGTGTTTTCAATGAAATAATATCAGAAAATTTCAAACAAAGGCAGCTGGATAACAACAGGCAAATTCAACAGATAGCCAGGACTCCGAACAGGGTAGACCAGAAGAGAAATTCACTGTGACACATTGTGGCGACACTCAGCTCAGTGACACACAAAGAACAAATCCTAAAATGTGCCAGAGAAAAACGACAAATCACATTCAGGGGTAAGTTAATCAGACTCATCCCAGACTTCTCATCACAAACACTACAGGCAAGGAGACAATGGCATGATATATTTCAAGTTTTAAAAGACAAACAATGCCAACCTAGAATACTATACCCTGCAAAGCTATCATTTATGAATGAAGGGGAAATAAAGATCTTCCAAGACAAACAGAAACTGAAAGAATTTGTATCCACGCGTCCAACCCTACAACACTTGCTCAAAGACGTGCTGCACACAGAAATACAAAAACAAGAACTTCACTACAAAAAAAAAATGCGAATGTAGAGTAACCTACAAACAAAGTTCAGAATACATAAACAGCTCGTTTAGGAAACATGAATGGGAAAAGACAGTACTTAACAGTAATCACACTGAATGTGAATGGTCTTAATTCTACTACCAAAAGACATAGACTAGATGATTGGATCAAGAAATAGAATCCATCTATATGCTGCCTTCAGGAGACACACCTTATCAGCAAAGATGCACACAGATTGAAAGTGAAAGGATGGAAAAAGATACTCCAAGCTAACAGAAATCAAAAAAGAGCTGGTGTGGCCATCCTGATATCAGGCAAAATAGACTTTAACATAAAAACTATTAAAAGAGACAGAGAAGGGCACTATATAATGATTAAAGGATCTATCCAATAGGAAGACATTAGTATTATAAATGTATATGCACCTAATTACAGGGCACCTGGCTACCTGAAAGAATTACTAAAGGATTTAAAGGGAGATATAGATTCAAATACAATAGTAACAGGGGACTTCAACACCCCACTCTCACCAATGGACAGATCAACCAGACAGAAATTCAACAAGGAAACAACAGAGTTAATTGATGCTATAGACCAAATAGACCTAATAGATATCTTCAGAACCTTCCACCGCACAGCCACAGAGTTCACGTAATTCTCCCCAGTACATGGAATGTTCTCTAGGATTGACCATATGCTAGGCCATAAAGGGAGCCTCAACAAATTCAAAAAAATTGAAACTATACCATGCAGCTTCTCAGACCATAGCACAGTGAAACTTGAAATCAACAACCCAAGAATCTCTACACCATATGAAAATATATGGAGAATGGACAACATAATCCTAAACGAACAGTGGGTCATCGAAGAAATTAAAAGAGAAATCAAAAGATTTCTAGAAGCAAATGAAAATGATAACACAACCTATCAAAACCTGTGGAACAGAGCAAAAGCAGTGTTAAGAGGAAAGCTTATAGCAATTGGTGCCTACATCAAGAAGCTGGAAAGGAACCAAATAAATGAACTCCCCATGCACCTCAAAGATTTAGAAAAACAGCAGCAAATCAAGCCCAAATCCAGAAGGAGGAAAGAAATACTAAAGATCAGAGAAGAAATAAACAGAATTGAAACAAAAAAAAAATACAAAAGATCAACAAAACCAGGAGCTGGTTCTTTGAAAAAATAAACAAAATCAACACACCATTAGCCCAACTAACCAAAAAAAGGAGAGAGAAGACCCAAATCTGTAAAATCAAAGATAGTAAAGGAAATGTAACAACAGACACAATAGAAATAAAAAAAATCATCAGAAACCACTACAAAGAGATGTATGCTAACAAATTGGGAAACCTGGAATAAATGGATAGATTCCTGGACACATACAACCTTCTTAAACTGAGCCGTGAAGATATAGAAAATCTAAACAGACCCATAACCATGGAAGAGATTGAATCAGTAATAAACGCACTACCGAAAAAGAAGAGCCCAGGACCATCAGATGGCTTCACTGCCGAATTTTACCAGACATTTAGAGAACAACGAACCCCAGTTCTTCTCAAGTTATTCAAAACAATTGGAAGGGAGGGAATCCTCCCAAATTCTTTCTACGAAGCCAATATCACCTTAATTCCTAAGCCCAGAAAAGACACAACAGAGAAAGAAAACTACAGACCTATCTCCCTGATGAACATAGATGTAAAAATACTCAACAAAATTCTGGCAAACCGAATCCAACTGCACATCAGAAAGATCATTTTTCACCCAGACTAAGTGGGATTTATCCCTGGTATGCAGGTATGGTTCAATATTCAAAATTCAATCAATGTAATACATCACATTAATAAATTGAGAAACAAACATCATATGATTATCTCAATAGATGCAGAGAAAGCATTTGACAAAATACAACACCCTTTCATGATGAAAACCCTAAGCAAATTGGGGTTAGAAGGAACATTCCTCAACACAATTAAGGCAGTCTATGATAAACCAATGGCCAGCATCATATTTAATGGGGAAAAGTTGGAGGCATTTCCATTGAAAACTGGCACCAGACAGGGATGCCCACTCTCACCATTGCTATTCAATATAGTCCTAGAAGTGTTATCCAGGGCCATCAGGCAAGAAAAAGAAATTAAAGGGATACAAATGGGAAAGGAGGAAGTTAAACTATCCCTATTTGCAGATGACATGATACTATATATATAGGGGACCCGATAAACTCCTATAAGAGACTATTGGAACTCATAGAAGAGTTTGGTAAAGTAGCAGGATACAAAGTCAATGCTCAGAAATCAACAGCCTTTGTATACACAGACAATGCCAGGGCTGAGGAAGAACTTCTAAGATCAATCCCATTCATGATAGCCACAAAAACGATAAAGTACCTTGGAATAAATTTAACCAAGGATGTCAAAGACCTCTATGATGAAAATTACAAAAACTAAAGAAAGAAATAGAAGACGACACAAAAAAATGGAAAAAACCTGCCATGCTCATTGATTGGAAGAATCAATATCATCAAAATGTCCATTCTCCCAAAAGCAATCTACGAGTTCAATGCAATACCAATCAAAATGCCAAAGTCATTCTTCAAAGACCTAGAAAAAACGATGCTGAAATTCATATGGAGAAACAGGAGACCGAGAATAGCTAAAGCAATCCTTTACAATAAAAACAAGGCCAGAGGCATCACAATTCCAGACTTCAAGACATACTACAGGGCAGTTATAATCAAAACAGCCTGGTACTGGTACAAAAAACAGATGGATAGACCCATGGAACAGAATAGAAACACCGGAGATCAATCCAAACATCTATAACCAACTCATATTCAACAAAGGACCTAAAACCAACCCCTGGAACAAGGACAGCCTCTTCAACAAATGGTGCTGGGAAAACTGGATGTCCACATGTCGCAGTATGAAGCAAGACCCCTACCTTACACCTTATACAAAAATCCACTCAACATGGATCAAAGAATTAGAGATGCACCACGACACCATGAAACTAATTGAGAGCATAGGGGAAACCTTTCAAGATATTGGAACAGGCAAAGAATTCCTGGAGAAGACCCCAGAGGCACGGGTAATCAAAGATAAAATAAACAAAT